GCAAGAACAAAGGCCTAGCGTGTGCTAAATAAAAAGAACAAGGGCCTAGCGTGTGCAAAATAAAAAGAACAAGGGTCTAGCATGTGCAAAATTGCAAGAACAAGGGCCTAGCGTGTGCAAAAGGAAAAGAACAAGGGCATAGCGTGTGCAAAATAGCAAGAACAAGGGCCTAGCGTGTGCAAAATAAAAAGAACAAGGGCCTAGCGTATGCAAAATAAAAAGAACAAGGGCCTAGCGTGTGCAAAATTGCAAGAACAAGGGCCTAGCGTGTGCAAAATTGCAAGAACAAGGGCCTAGCGAGTGCAAAATAGCAAGAGCAAGGGCTTAGCGTGTGCAAAAAATCAAGAACAAGGGCCTAGCATTCGCGAAATAGCAAGAACAAGGGCCTAGCGTGTGCAAAATAAAACGAACAAGGGTCTAGCATGTGCAAAATTGCAAGAACAAGGGCCTAGCGTGTGCAAAATAAAAAGAACAAGGGCATAGCGTGTGCAAAATAGCAAGAACAAGGGCCTAGCGTGTGCAAAATTGCAAGAACAAGGGCCTAGCGAGTGCAAAATAGCAAGAGCAAGGGCCTAGCGTGTGCAAAAAATCAAGAACAAGGGCCCAGCGTTCGCGAAATAGCAAGAGCAAGGGCCTAGTGTGTGCAAAATAAAAAGAAAAAGGGTATAGCATGTGCAAAATTGCAAGAACAAGGGCCTAGCGTGTGCAAAATAAAAAGAACAAAGGCCTAGCGTGTGCAAAATAAAAAGAACAAGGGCCTAGCGTGTACAAAATTGCAAGAACAAGGGCCTAGCGATTGCAAAATAGCAAGAGCAAGGGCCTAGCGTGTCCAAAAAATCAAGAACAAGGGCCTAGCGTTCGCGAAATAGCAAGAACAAGGGCCTAGCGTGTGCAAAATAAAAAGAACAAGGGTCTAGCATGTGCAAAATTGCAAGAACAAGGGCCTAGCGTGTGCAAAATAAAAAGAACAAGGGCATAGCGTGTGCAAAATAGCAAGAACAAGGGCCTAGCGTGTGCAAAATAAAAAGAACAAGGGCCTAGCGTATGCAAAATAAAAAGAACAAGGGCCTAACGTGTGCAAAATTGCAAGAACAAGGGCCTAGCGTGGGCAAAATTGCAAGAACAAGAGCCTAGCGAGTGCAAAATAGCAAGAGCAAGGGCCTAGCGTGTGCAAAAAATCAAGAACAAAGGCCTAGCGTTCGCGAAATAGCAATAACAAGGGCCTAGCGTGTGCAAAATAAAAAGAACAACGGTCTAGCATGTGCAAAATTGCAAGAACAAGGGCCTAGCGTGTGCAAAATAAAAAGAACAAGGGCCTAGCGTGTGCAAAATAAAAAGAACAAGGGCCTAGCGTGTGCAAAATTGAAAGAACAAGGGCCTAGCGTGTGCAAAATTGGAAGAGCAAGGGCCTAGCGAGTGCAAAATAGCAAGAGCAAGGGCCTAGCGTGTGCAAACAATCAAGAACAAGGGCCTAGCGTTCGCGAAATAGCAAGAGCAAGGGCCTAGTGTGTGCTGCAAGAACAAGGGACTAGCGTGTGCAAAATAAAAAGAACTAGGGCAAAGCGTATGCAAAATAGCAAGAACCAGGGCCTAGCGTGTGCAAAATAAAAAGAACAAGGGCCTAGCGTGTGCAAAATAAAAAGAACAAGGGCCTAGCGTGTGCAAAATTGCAAGAACAAGGGCCTAGCGTGTGCAAAATTGCAAGAACAAGGGCCTAGCGATTGCAAAATAGCAAGAGCAAGGGCCTAGCGTGTGAAAAAAATCAAGAACAAGGGCCTAGCGTTCGCGAAATAGCAAGAACAAGGGCCTAGCGTGTGCAAAAAAAAAAGAACAAGGGCCTAGCGTATGCAAAATAAAAAGAACAAGGGCCAAGCGTGTGCAAAATCGCAAGAATAAGGGCCTAGCGTGTGCAAAATTGCAAGAACAAGGGCCTAGCGAGTGCAAAATAGCAAGAGCAAGTGGTTAGCGTGTGCAAAAAATCAAGAACAAGGGCCTAGCATTCGCCAAATAGCAAGAACAAGGGCCTAGCGTGTGCAAAATAAAAAGAACAAGGGTCTAGCATGCCAAAATTGCAAGAACAAGGGCCTAGCGTGTGCAAAATAAAAAGAACAAGGGCCTAGCGTGTGCAAAATAAAAAGAACAAGGGCCTAGCTTTGCAAAATTGCAAGAACAAGGGCCTAGCTTGTGCAAAATTGCACATCTGCACATCCGCACAACGTTGAGATTGACATCAGAAAAAAAAAAAAAACACATTCAAATGCTACCGGACTGCACAAGCTGCTCGGCTTACCGGAGGGGAAATTCCCCTTTGGAACTGTCTTGCGCTTAAAGAACACCCAGGGCTTGAGCTTCTCGCCGCTGGCGGTGCACGCAAGCATCACCGTCACGCGTTCCTTTTGATAGCCGCCGCTGCGGATGGGCACGGAGCGGACCCCCACCTCCTCGACAGTGCGTTCAGCTGGCATTTCGAGCCAGAGCGGGGTCTGATCAGCATTTATGATCCAGCGGTTGTCGATTCCGGACTGTCGGCGGGTGTGTCGCACGAACTTCCAGAAGTTTCGCACTTGCGTCTCGCACTCTGGAAGGGACGGGGAGGCAGAAACCATAAAAAAACATTAACTATCGACCGGTTGGCAAAGGGGATAAACAAGAGCGAATTCAAAAAGCCCACTCACCGGAGGATAGTTTCTGGCCGACACGGGTCTTAGCTCGGGTAGTGAGATTCCAGCGGCGCCGAAAACGCTCAGTCCACCTCTGAGATCCCGCCCACTTTACCTCAGGATGCAGGCTCTTCATCACCTCTCGCGACCACTGCTGCAGGCGGCCGACCGACACTGCGAGGCACTTTTTCCGGGCGGCAAGTACTCGTGAGTAGACCTGGATCTCCATGTCGCGATACCACGACGACCGACCACGCCCGTGAAGACGCTTGCGAGCCCCATGCGCGCCCTCCAGCTCACCCTTCCGCGATTTCCATACTGCGAGGGACTTTCGGGAGATACCAGAGTCGCGTGCCATCTTCCGCATACTCACGGCACCGGACTCCAGCTGTGAAATCCAGTGCAGCTTCTCCTGAGAAGTATAGGAGTGCCGCTTGTGCCTTGAGCGCCTGCTCCTGGGAGACGGGGGGCGGGAATCACGACTCTGGGTGCAGGGGTGGGGCCTTTTTTTATTGGGCGGGGGAAAACTTGGGACAGGCAAGTCCTCGGGAAGACCGTCGGCCGCCCACCACTCAACATCGTCTTCGGCACCGGTGGCGGATTCGTCGTGCGGGCAGTCTTCCGGGTCTCCCCAACGTGGCGAAAGACCGGGACCGGTTTCATCTTCGTCGCTGCGCTCGGGCTCGTGCTCGGGCTCGGAGATGTACGCATCGAAAGCAGAGTAGCCACGAGGGAGAAGCTGCAGAATGGGCACACCGTTGATGACGACGATAGGCGGAGCGGGAGGAGCAGGAGGCGCTGGAGGTGCAGGAGGCGCAGGAGGAGCAGGAGGCGCAGGAGGAGCAGGAGGTATTGGCGCTGGACGACTCTGCCACTGGGAGTAATCGGGAGCTTTGTCAGCAGCACCTCGGCGCTTAAAGAGGAAATGGGTGCCTGGTTGGCCCGCCATAGCTAAGGCAGGCCGATGGGAAACAAGAAATCTGAAAAAAACAGGGAGAATGAAGCATGTTTGAAACCCTTGCCCGAGACCCCTCCAACTTCGCGGCCCAGGTTCCTCTGCAGGCTAAGGGGAGAAACAGTCAAGATCTCCCCGCAGAGGAGCTGATGTGGTGAGGTCCATGCGTACGGGGCAAGGAATCTTGCCCCGTTTGTGGTTTTACTGCGTCGTGGCTAGCACGACAGTCGGCCCTGATTGGGCAGTCGCACTCTAAACTGCGTGTGCGTTGGCATGGGCCAGATTCGGTACGATGAATCTGGCCTGGCGAGCAAGGCGTGGCGGGCGTGATTCCGCGCCTTGTTGGCAATTTGACGCGCGTTTCATGCACAAACTCGAACGTTCTAGATGTGGATTGAATCCCCGTTTGAAAAGGCTTCAAATACATGTAAAAAAAAACCATTTCAATTTTGCCTTTTTATAGGCGCCGGCGCTTATAAAATTCCTCAATTATAAGCGCACCCCCTAAAAAACAGTGTTTTATTATAAGCACAGGGGCGCTTCTATCCGGGGGCTGACGGTACCGTATGGCCCCGGATATAAGCGCAGGCCTATTATAAGCGCATGCGCTTGTATCTGGAGCAATGCGCTTATGGCCGATCCTCATTTATAAGCGCACCCCCTGTAAAACCTTGATTTATTATAAGCGCACGTATAATTCTAAAATTTAAACCAGATTAAAACGGTAGCGATTTCAAATTTTGCAGTGAGGATACAACTATTTTCGCTTCGATTGACTTTCGAGGACCTCACATACTGCGCGTCCAGTCAGTATGAGCTGGCATTTCTGATAGTGACGTGTAAATTTTCCTCTGTGCGCCGGCAGAAAATCGCTCACGCGCGAATCTGAATTGCGACTCGCTACCACTTCGATTCGATTGAAATCACAAGAAGGATATGTACAGTTTGGTGCCAATGAATTATAAATTTGCATTTGTTATTATATAAGCGCATGCGCTTATAAATCTGACTCAATTATAAGCGCACCCCCCCAAAAAACACTGTTTTATTATAAGCGCAGGTGCGCTTATATCCGGGGTATTACGGTATATTCATATTTTGTGACACGGGGTTGGATAAATGTGCAGGCGCAACTCGAGAAATCAGGGATTGAGACACAAATGTCGATGTGATAATGCACCCAAACACCAGTAAAGACAGGTACCCTACACAACCTATCTTTTATTCTCTAACATAAAAGCACAACTGTGCAGGCCCAGGCGCACACGCACCACTATAAATACATCTACGGTACACTACAGCATCGGCGGCGCACAACAAAACAATAATGCTTCCCACACTGATGCCACACAGCCTGCCAGCGCTCTCCCCCCTCGCCCGACGCCTCATCCAGCCTGGGGGGGCGGCGGCGCGGGGTCCTTGATGTCAACGAGCTCGAGGTTCTCAGCGAGGGTGGTCATGTCGGGGCGCAGCCCGGGGTCGTCGTGGATGCAGTGCTTGCCCAGGATCGCCATCTTCACCGCGCCCGCCTTGCTGAACTCGCCCTTCAGCTGCGGGTCCACCAGCAGGTTCAGGTCTGGCCGCCGCTGCGACAGGAACGGCCGGATCCACGTCGTCAGGCTGTCGTTGCCGCTCTCGCCTGTTGTGCGCCGCCCTGTCAGCAGCTCCAGCAGCAGCACTCCGAATGCATACACATCACTCTTCTTTGTCAGCCGCCCTGCACTCGTAGCACACAGGGGGGAAGGGGAACACACAGAGGCATGCCAGGTGAGCGCGCTCCAGAGCCAGACCATGCACAGTGGGGTGTGGGGTGCTCGTGGAGGTGTGTGGTGCTTGTGGAGGTGTGGGTTGCACGTGGAGGGTGTGTGGTGCACGTGGAGGGTGTGTGGTGCACGTGGAGGGTGTGTGGTGCACGTGGAGGGTGTGTGGTGCACGTGGAGGGTGTGTGGTGCACGTGGAGGCTGTGTGGTGCACGTGGAGGGTGTGTGGTGCATGTGGAGGGTGTGTGGTGCACGTGGAGGGTGTGTGGTGCATGTGGAGGGTGTGTGGTGCATGTGGAGGGTGCATGGCAGAGGCCAAGAGCGAGAGGGGAATGAGCGGGCGGAGGGGGCAAGTGGGAGCGTGGACTGTGGGCAGGGAGGAAAAGACAGAAGATGAAGACGCAGAAACGAGGCCAGAGGGCGGGCACGAGTGGGTAAGAACAGGGAAGCAGCAGGGCATAGGAAGAGGAAGGGATGAGAAGATGGAAGGGAGGGTGGCGACGTGCAGAGAAAGAGGCAAGGAAGCAGGAGGGGAGGATGGAGGAAGAAACTGAGGCAAGAAGGAAGGTGCAAGGGGCGTAGCAAGCAGAGAGGGTGGCAAGGAGTAAACGGGTGGAGGGGGAAGGGGAGGAATGGGGAGGGTAAGGTACCGGTTTCCATGTAGGTGGGGTCGAGGTAGCCCAGCGTGCCCATGACTCGCGTCGAGATGTGCGTCTCCCCCCCGTCCGGCCCTGCCCGCGCCATGCCAAAGTCCGTCAGCCGCGCCGAGTAGTCCTGCCATCCACCGCACACCCGTGGCCGCGCGTGCCACCCATGTGCCGCGTGTGGCAGCCACGTGGCGGGGTCAAGGGGGGAAGCATTGATGAATGCGATGCGGCGGCATGGGGGGCAGCGGGGGCGGGCTCAGCAGCAGCAGGGCAGCTGTGGAGCAGGGCGCGCGGGTAAGAGAATCAAAAGGCGCGTCCCAATCGCCGTGTGTGAGGCAACGCGCTCAGCCGTACAGCGCAGTGGAGCGACGAGCTACGCACTGCCCTCGGCGAGGAGGGGGGGATGCTGCACGGACCTGTGCCCTCACAGCCCCTCACAGCCCGTGACCCTGATTGGCTGGTACCTCGGCGAGCAGGACTGACCTCGGCGAGCAGGACTGACCTCGGCGAGCAGGACTGACCTCGGCGAGCAGGACTGACCTCGGCGAGCAGGACTGACCTCGGCGAGCAGGACTGACCTCGGCGAGCAGCACTGACCTCGGCGAGCAGGACTGACCTCGGCGAGCAGGATGTTGGAGGCCTTGAAGTCGCGGTGGATGATGTTGCTCTCGTGCAGATACGCCAACCCCTTCGCCGCGTCCAGCGCTATGCGCACGCGCTGCTCCCACGACAACACGTACTCCTCCGCTGCTCACGCGCACACGCGCGCACCCACACCCATGTGCAACCACACGCGCAACCACACGCGGCCACGCCCACACGCAACCAAACACACAGCACACCCACCAAACGCACGTTGAAAGTGCGGGATAATGAAGTTAAAGAGGAATTGCTTTGCAGCACGCCCCGACGGCAACGACGGGGAAATAGCAGGACGGCGCAATGGCAGGACAAGGCGGGGGAGGAGGAAGAGCGTACGTTCGAAGAGCACGTCGTCGAGCGAGCCATTGGGGCAGAGCTCGTACATCAGCAGCGCCTCGCCCTTCTCCGCGCAGTACCCCACCAGCCGCACCAGGTTCGGGTGCCGCAACTTGTCCAGTAGCAACACCTCCGCCTGCCGCCCGCCCACCCCCACCCCGCACACGCAATGCGCGCGCGTCAGTCAAGCGCGCACAGACTGGGTACGACACGACACACAAGACCATGCAGACGCGTGGCAAAAACGAAAGCGGGGAGTGAGGGGCATAGCAACGAGGTAGAGCGTGCGCGACAAAGCGGGGAGGGCGGGGCGCGCGCGAGGTGGGGGAGGGGAGCGCGCACCAGCCACTCCTCGTAGCCCTGGAAGCTCTCCGGGTTGAGCTTCTTCACCGCCACCTGCGTGCGCACCACCTCGCCCCCCCCGCCTCGCCCCGCCGGCGCCTCCTCCCACACGCCGCGGTACACCTTGCCGAAGCTGCCCTCCCCTAGCACGCCGTTCTCGTCGAAGCTGTTCGTGATCGTCAGAAACTCCTTCAGCTTCAGCCGCCGCGCTGGCGGCGGCCCTGTTCCCCCACCTGGGTCCGCCCCTAGCCCTGATGTGGAGCTCTTTAATTTGGATAACGCCGCGCTCGAGCCGCCGCTTTTCATAGACCTAGGAGCCCCCGACGATGTGGATTGGCTGCCCTCTGCGCACGGGACGGCAAGGGGGGCGGTGAGGAACGGTGATACGGTGCTGGGAGCAGTAAGAGCGGCAAGAAACACTGCATCGTGAGTGACACTTGCGTCGTGAGAAACGACCGCGTGCGATACGCAGCGCTACGAGGAAGCATTGGCGCGGACCTGCGGGTTTGGACGACGGCGCTGTTGGCGCCTCGACCTCGACGGACAGGAAGCAGCCCATGCCGACCCGCGCCTCTCCTCCACCGCGCGCTCACACGTAACGCATGCCACGCGCCGCTATGCCGTCTCGATGAAACCCTAAAAGCAGGTATCTTGCAAACTAAAGGAAAGGATATAGTGGTAGTAGCAGCAGTGGTAGCAAGAGAAGCGGCGAGCGTACAACTAGGCTGGAAATGGTAGGATGGTGGTGAGTGGCAGGCTAAAATGGTGCTGTGAGGGTTTGAGGTGAGGGTAGGGGTAGCTGGGCGAGGCCAGTAGGCGACGTCGTATGCGTCGCAGGGCGAAGCGAAATGTGGACGAAACGGGTGCGACGTGAAATGGCCGGATGGCTCTCAGCCAGTCGTGGTAGGCGACTGCAATCGTCGCAGGGGGACTGGACGTGGGCGCCTGGGCCAAACCTTAGGGACGAGAGAACGTATGCAATTGGTTGACCTTTCCCCGATATATCCAACCTCGATGTTGCGTCGAAAGCGTGTTGTAAATTTCAAATCTCAAACCGCTCATTCCACCTCATGGAAATTCGAAGTCTTAGAACTTACTACATAATTCCTCAATTCCGAAGCGTCTTTCTTGGACGTCCATCTATCTCATTACACGTGCCGCGTTCGTCGAATGCTGGAACGTGCAGCCATTGGTCCAGAGTCGCCATGAATCTCAGCCTGCTAGGTCAGCCTCGCTCGCTCCCCCGTTTCTCCCTCTCCTCGTTCTCGCCCGCTCCTCCTGCGTGCGCCGCCCTCCCGGGCTCAGCCTCAGTCCCATTGCTCCCGTCTTTCCCGTTGCTTGGCATGTCGCAACGCACAAACGGCGGCGCGCGCGCCCCGAGGCAGATCCGTTTCAGAACGACTTCCCCGAAGTGATCGAGGAGTATCTGGACCACCGCGCCGCCAAGTGCATCGCCTTCAACCGCCGCGGCACGCTGCTCGCAGGTACGCGGCGCTGCATGCGCGGCCGCACACAGCCATCGTGGCCAGTCCCGTGCGCGCCCTCCCTCCTCCTCATTTTTCCCCGCCTCAAGTCCGCATCAATCTCCCACCCTTGGCCACCTCCCCTTCCCCTTACACCCCCTTCCCTTTCCCTTCCCCTTACGTTTGCGCATTGCCCCCGCATCCCCCACGTCAGCGGGGTGCGCGGATGGCGTGTGCGTCATCTGGGACTTCGACACGCGCGGAGTGGCCAAGGAGCTGCCGCTCCCCCCGCTGCTCCCCCCGCCCCTCCATGAGACCCCCTCACCCGCCACGGCGGACTCTCCATCCGCCACGCCCTCCGCCGTTCCCCCTCCTCCCCCGTCGCTGGTCACGAGCGTCGCATGGTCCAAATGCGGCCGCCTGCTGCTCGCCGCCTACACCGCCGCGGGCCCCTCCGCCCACGCGCACGCGCACTCCCCTGCGCAGCCGCATGCTCCGCCGTCGCCCTACCGCGTGGTGCTGTGGGACGTGGCGGCGGGCTCCCCCGTGACCTCCGTGCCCCTCCCCAAGCCCGCCCTCCACGTGCGCCTGCACCCCTCCCCCTCCCCCTCCCTCGCGCTCGTCTGCCCCATGGGCGCCCCCCCCGCCCTCCTCCACCTCCCCTCCGGAAAACTCCGACCACTCCCCACCTCCCCCAAGGCGGATGGCGCGGGGGGCGGGGCAGGGAAAGGTGGGAGGGGCGGGGGGGGCGAGGGGGGGGCGGGGAGCCTGCCGTGGCCGGCGGTGTTTGACAAGAGCGGCAGCCTGGCGCTCGTGGGCGCGCCCTCGGGCCACATCCTCGTCGCCTCCGTGCCCGATGCCGCCCTCCTCGCCGCCATCCCCGGCGTGCCCTCCCCCGCGGGCGGCAGCAGCGGCAGCACTGGATGGGCGGCGGCGTGCATCCGCCAGCTGGCGCTGAGTCGCGACGGGCGGTTCCTGCTGACCAACTGCACGGACCGCGTGCTGCGCGTCTTCTCCCTCGCCACCGCCGCCCTGCACGGCGCCCAGGGCAGCGGCGCTGGCGGGGAGACTAAGGTTGCGAAGCAGAACGGGGAGAGAGGCGAGAGCGCAGGTGGGGAGTCAGAGCACAGTGAGCGCGGGGGCGGGCGAGCAGGGGGCAGCAAGCAGGGCGGGGGGTGGCCGGGGGCAGTCGAGGTGGTGCCACGGGTCAAGCAGCGCGCGCTGGTGGCACTGACGTTCGTGAAGGAGTACCAGGACGCGGTGAACCGCGTGCAGTGGCGCAGCGCCTGCTTCAGCGGCGACGGCGAGTTCGTGGTGGGCGGCGTGGCGGCGCGCGGCGAGCACAAGATCCACATCTGGAACCGCGCCTTCGGACAGCTCGTGCGCATCCTCGAGGGCCCCAAGGAGGCCCTGGCGGACCTGCTATGGCACCCCACGCGCAAGGTGATGGCGTCGCTGGCGGGCGGCGGCAGCATCTACCTGTGGGCGCAGGACTACCGCGAGAGCTGGAGTGCGTTCGCGCCTGACTTCCGTGAGCTGGAGGAGAACGAGGAGTACGTGGAGCGCGAGGACGAGTTCGACGCCTGGCCCGACCCGGGGCTGGGCCCGCCCGCACGGCATGGTGCGGGGGAGGAGGGAGGTGGATCAGAGGAGGTGGACATAGAGAGGGTAGAGCGCGTGGCGGCTTACAGTGACTCTGACGACTCCTCTGACGCCCTGCTCTTCCTCCCCACCCACCCCCTCCCCACCCTCCCTCCGCCCACTGCTGCCGCTGCCCCCGCTGAAAACGGCGCAGCGGAGGATGCAGAGGAGGAGCAGGGGCAGGGGGGCAGGGCGCGGAACCGGGAGGGTGAGAGTGATGGGGAGGAGAGTGGCTCGGAGGGGGAGGACGGGGAGGGGCAGGGCAGTGGCGGGGCTGGCGCTGACAGTGACTCAGGTGAGGAAAGGTTCTTTTGTGAGCGGTGTGAGTGCATGCAGTCACCGGCAACACTCACGCTGATTACCAGCGCTCACTTCTACCACCAACAACACTCACGCTGATTACCAGCGCACTTCTACCACCAACACCACTCACGCACTGGGTTCAGCAATGCCACTTAGTTGTTTTGCAACCTGTACACACTCATCTCCCCTTGCGCTCTTCCCTCTCCCCCTCACCCACCTTTGCTCTCGCACACCCTCCCCCCCACCCCTCCCTTTCCCCCCACCCCCCTTTTTGGCGGCTGCAGAGGGGCGGGGGGCATCAGGGCGGGGCAGGCGGCGGCGGCGGCTGTCAGAGAAAGCAGCAGAGCTGGTGGGGGGGGGCAGGAGGGAGGGCAAGGGGGAGAAGCGGGAGGGGCGGGGGGACAAGAGAGGGGGAGGGGGGGAGAAGAGCCATAGAAGGGGCAAGGGTAGGGCAAAGAGGGAGAGGTAGTGAGCGTGGCCACTTGCCCCACTGGTTGCCACAGCTCCACGCCGCACAGGTGCTGGCAGCGTGATGGTGGTGGTAGCGAATCTCACGGGCACAGATTAACCTCAGAAATGGGCAAGGATGGTGTGCTTATGCTGGAGCTGGTCTGAGGCTACTACTAGTAACATAATTGGCATACTAGTTTGTTACACATTTTGTTTCTCAAAAGTTAGTTAGCAACTGACATTGTACTTATTGTACAGTACAATTCAGACTACCAGCATCTTCGCTAGCAAGTATCTTGTGCAACATCAACAGGGCTGTGTGCCAAGGACTGCACCTTCCAAATGGAGATTGCATGTGCAAAGGCTGCAAGAGAGCCTACACCACTACCATACCATGGCTCGCTATCACTACATCATCTACCGTATGCTGCTGCACTCGCCCCTCCACTGCCTCATTGCCGTGCATATGCTGGCATGCCATGCACACTGCTGCTGCTGCTGCTGCTGCTGCTGCTGCTGCTTCATTTACTGCGCCTACTGCTGCTACTGCTACTGGTGCTAATGCTTTGGGTACTGCTGCCTTTGCTACTGCTACTGTGCCGCTGAGTGGGTGTGTTGTTCCTTGCTACTGTCGGTGGGGCCACATGGCCAGGCAGACTGGGCGCTGTCAGCAAGCCTTATTGCCCGTGCCAGTGGGGGGGATGGCTTGCCACGCCACTCCCAACTCAACAGGGCGCGTGTGATGCACAGGCGCTGCTGAGACAAGGTGCCGGCGAGTGGAGGTAGCAATGAGTGGCTGTGCAGGGAGAGGGAGTGGGCGAGCTGGCGTGGCTTTCTAACATGATGGGGATGGGAAGCTTCGAGGCACTCGAAAGGAGATGGAAAGCGAATGGGGAGGCGTGATTAATGGAAGGAGATGGGGAGGCGTGATTAATGGAAGGAGATGGGGAGGCGAGGCTAGCCAAAGGAGATGGGGAGGCCTCTGGAGGGAGTGGCGAGGAAGAAGTAGTCGAGCACGACGCGCTCTATGGCGTCCGGTGAATAGCGGTACGTCTTGAACTCACACAGCTCCTCCCTGTGACACCCCCATGTGCACACACACATGCACAGACAGTAAGAGTGACACAAATACAAGCAGAGGCGCATGCGCATGGAGATGAGTGGGAGCAGAGAGAAGAGGGCACGAGTGGCATGCGAGTGGAGCCACACACACACAGATGGGATGCGCTCTGTGCATGCCATGAGGGGGGCAGCAAGGAATGGCCATGGCAGGGCACCTGTAGGGCAGCAGGAAGGCATGGGCATGGCAGGGCGCCTGTAGGGCAGCAGGAAGGCATGGGCATGGCAGGGCACCTGTAGGGCAGCAGGAAGGCATGGGCATGGCATGGCAGGGCACCTGTAGGGCAGCAGGAATGCAGAGTAGATTTCTCGCAGGCGCCGAGCAACGCTGCTGCGAGTCTTCTTGCGGCGGTCCTCATCGGGGATGTTCCACCCCGCCTGCTTTATCGCCAGCTCCTCAAACGCCGCGTTGAACTTCTTCAGCCTGCCACCCCACATGCACACACACACGCACACGCGCGCACGCACACACACACACACACACATACATACATGTGCGCATGTCAGGGTGATGCATGTCAGCGAGGGGAAGGAGTGACACGGATGAGGGAGACAAAACTGCCGAGACGGCCTGTGGTAGCATGGCGAGAAGGGAGGGCCAATGCATAGCAGCGAGTCAACAAGGCCGCACAGTCAAGCCTCCTAACTGGCGCTCACCCACCTGTCCAAATAGACACCCCACCCCACTTCCCCCGCGCGACTCACTTGGCCTTGACCTCCGTGTGCTCATTGACCGACTTGAGCAGCCCCCCCGTGACTGCTGTCTCCTCCAGTGCGTGCGATATCTGTTGTGGCCGCGCGCATGCGCGCACGGGGGAGCGCAGGCATGCAAACGAGGGAGGTGAACTGAGAGAGGTGGGGGAGGTGAGGGGGGTGGGAGAATGAGATGGCATGGCATCCAAACAGGAGCAATAGAGGTATGAGACCCAGGAGGGCACAATCATGCAAGCAGAAACGGAACTGCTAAAGCAAGCATGGCCACACACCATACAGCCGCACACACACGCTTCATGCACACATGTCACAACAATCCTGCCATTTGATAAAATGTGCCACGCAGGCAGGGCATGGCATGGCATGGCATGGCAGGGCAGGGCAAGCAAGAGTCACCCGGGCGAGCACGGCGTCTCTGAAGTGGATCATGTACTTGTCCAGCATCTGCCCGTCCTTCCAGTCCGGTAGATCCGCCACAGCTGACAGCTTGCCATCCGACCTGCACCGCCACACAGATGGGTACATGGGTGCATGGTTGTGTGGACACATGAGGGCATGGACACATGGGCACATGGGAGTGGAGGTCCACAAGTGGACCGGGAGACACATCCTCGCAGCCAGCCACATATGGTAGTAGCACGCAGGCATATCAGGGCAGCATACGGTGCTGCTGCTGGTGCGATTCTCTGCAAGGGACACCGCACAGAGTGGCACGAGTGTCACGTACTGACAGCACTGCAGGGGGTTGAGCGGCTCACAGGTTTTTGGAGATGTAGAGGGCATTGTTGAGGAGGAAGAGCGCGCCCTGGGTGGGGTCGGAGGCGGCCTTGGCGCGGCTCTCCAGGCAGCGCAGCAGCGACTCCAGCACCGACGACACCACGCCCGCCAGGGTGGCTGCGCGCTGCCCCAGCGCTGCTGGCCCCACCGCGCCCGACCGCCGCTCCACAGCGGCGCCGCTGAAGGGCGTCTTGTACTGCGGGCCGCTGCGCGTTATGAGCGCCGCTGCCGTGGCGTCGGCACCGGTGGATGTGATGCTGCGGCCGTACTCCAGCAGCAGATACTCCAACGTCACCGGGTAGTTGCGCTTGCTCTGCCTGCTCACCACCACAGGAATTCCATAACAACTCCAGTGGGGTCAGTGCACCCATGCGTTGCATCCATCCATCCATTTCCGTACATCAAGCTGCTAGCTTCAACTGCGCCACGGTCAATTCCACAACCTGGTGCTGTAAGCCTAACACATGGACATCGGAAATGAGAGCAGGGTGACAGGAGGAGACCGCGCACGCACTTATCGAGGAGATTGTTCATGTAGTTGACGACGTAGGAGGTGAGGGGGTGTGTGGCGGCCGTGGCGACCTCCATCTCCTCCACGGGCCCCGTGTCCGCCCCACTGCTCGCACTCGCACTGCGCAGGAACGGCTTCAGCATGCTGCGGTCACAAGGGCACACGGGCGGGGTGGGATGGGATGAAGAAGTGAGATTGTGCTCGAGCGGGTGGTCAGGGGAGATAGAAGAGGCAGAGTGAGGGGAGAAACACTGGCCAGGCGAAGTCAAACACAGAGGGCGGACACAGGATGGGTGCAGGAGGTGGTGTCACATGCTATTGTAGCTGCCACACCCCATGCCTGTCCCATCCCGCCCGCCTTCCATCCCCAGCCCCTCTCCCCGCTCACCCTTTCTTCTTGTCCTGGCTGTGCGCCTGGTGGTGCGCGGGCGGCTCCTCGAGCACGCGTTTGAACTCGCCGATGGTGTCCATCACCGCACCCGCCAGGTCGCGCGGCAGCCGCTCCATCTCGCGCAGCACACTGCCAAACCCCGGCACCGACACCACCGCCTCGATCTGATCCCCAAGCAAACGGCCAGGGTGGGAAGGGCAGGCGGGGGAAGTGTTTGAAAGGCTTTCAGGAAGTTGACGGGAAGCACAGGGAGACAAAACTCGGGCGCGCATCTCCAGCCTCCTTACCCCACCTGCGACCCTCCGCCCTCCACCTGTGGCCTTCCTCGCTCACACCCCCCTCTCCTCCCCACCTACTCTTCCCCCCCCCGCTCCTCCCTCCCCCCCCCCCACCTGGGCGCGCAGCTCGCGGCCGGTGGTGAACATGTCGAGCAGCGCAAAGAGGCGCTCCGGTGTGTTGCGCCCTGACGCCACCACCCGCCCGTTGCTCACCACCGCCTCCACCGTTGCTGCCAGCCCACTCGCCTGCGCGCAGGAGTGGGGAGAGGAGGAACGGGGGAGGAGGGACAGGGCTTGTTAAGGGTGAATAGGGGAGATTTTAGGCGAACACGATAGTGGGGAGACATCTGGAACAGACTTGCGAAGAGATTGGGGTGGGAGGAAGCAGGGGTCACCTGAATGAGGGAGAGGTAGCAGAGCTCTCTGTCGGGTTCGAGGGAGTCGAATATCTCGTCACACAGCACGCGCTCGCTGCCCAGCAGCACCAACACCTGCCGTGGTCAGTGGCAGGCACGGCAGCGAGGAGAGGTAGGGGCGTGTGAGAGGGAGGAAACGGCAACAGCACCATGCAGGCAGTCACGCCCGCAGCAATCGCTCAAGAGGCACGTCTTTCCCAAATCATGGATCACACCACCTCCATCCTCAACCCCTGCCCCAGCCCCAAGTCCGAGCCAGTCCCCAGCCCCAAGTCCGAGCCAGTCCCCAGCCCCAAGTCCGAGCCAGTCCCCAGCCCCAAGCCCGAGCCAGTCCCCAGCCCCAAGTCCGAGCCAGTCCCCAGCCCCAAGTCCGAGCCAGTCCCCAGCCTCAAGTCCGAGCCAGTCCCCAGCCCCAAGTCCGAGCCCGTCCCCAGCCCCAAGTCCGAGCCAGTCCCCAGCCCCAAGTCCGAGCCAGTCCCCAGCCTCAAGTCCGAGCCAGTCCCCAGCCCCAAGTCCGAGCCAGTCCCCAGCCCCAAGTCCGAGCCAGTCCCCAGCCCCAAGTCCGAGCCAGTCCCCAGCCCCAAGCCCGAGCCAGTCCCCAGCCCCAAGTCCGAGCCAGTCCCCAGCCTCAAGTCCGAGCCAGTCCCCAGCCCCAAGTCCGAGCCCGTCCCCAGCCCCAAGTCCGAGCCAGTCCCCAGCCCCAAGTCCGAGCCAGTCCCCAGCCTCAAGTCCGAGCCAGTCCCCAGCCCCAAGTCCGAGCCAGTCCCCAGCCCCAAGTCCGAGCCAGTCCCCAGCCCCAAGTCCGAGCCAGTCCCCAGCCCCAAGTCCGAGCCAGTCCCCAGCGCCAAGTCCGAGCCAGTCCCCAGCCCCAAGTCCGAGCCAGTCCCCAGCCCCAAGTCCGAGCCAGTCCCCAGCCCCAAGTCCGAGCCAGTCCCCAGCCCCAAGTCCGAGCCAGTCCCCAGCCCCAAGTCCGAGCCAGTCCCCAGCCCCAAGTCCGAGCCAGTCCCCAGCCCCAAGTCCGAGCCAGTCCCCAGCCCCAAGTCCGAGCCAGTCCCCAGCCCCAAGTCCGAGCCAGTCCCCAGCCCCAAGTCCGAGCCAGTCCCCAGCCCCAAGCCCAGCTCCACGCCCCAGGCCCTGCCCACTGTGGCTCCCATATCTGTGACCCACCATGGCTCGCATGTCTGTGACCCACCATGGCTCTCATGTCTGTGACCCACCATGGCTCGCATGTCTGTGACCCACCATGGCTCTCATGTCTGTGACCCACCATGGCTCGCATGTCTGTGACCCACCATGGCTCGCATGTCTGTGACCCACCATGGCTCGCATGTCTGTGACCCACCATGGCTCGCATGTCTGTGACCCACCATGGCTCGCATGTCTGTGACCCACCATGGCTCGCATGTCTGTGACCCACCATGGCTCGCATGTCTGTGACCCACCATGGCTCGCATGTCTGTGACCCACCATGGCTCGCATGTCTGTGACCCACCATGGCTCGCATGTCTGTGACCCACCATGGCTCGCATGTCTGTGACCCACCATGGCTCGCATGTCTGTGACCCACCATGGCTCGCATGTCTGTGACCCACCATGGCTCGCATGTCTGTGACCCACCATGGCTCGCATGTCTGTGACCCACCATGGCTCGCATGTCTGTGACCCACCATGGCTCGCATGTCTGTGACCCACCATGGCTCGCATGTCTGTGACCTACCATGGCTCGCATGTCTGCGACCCACCATGGCTCGCATGTCTGCGACCCACCATGGCTCGCATGTCTGCGACCCACCATGGCTCGCATGTCTGCGACCCACCATGGCTCGCATGTCTGTGACCCACCATGGCTCGCATGTCTGTGACCCACCATGGCTCGCATGTCTGTGACCCACCATGGCTCGCATGTCTGTGACCCACCATGGCTCGCATGTCTGTGACCCACCATGGCTCGCATGTCTGTGACCCACCATGGCTCGCATGTCTGTGACCCACCATGGCTCGCATGTCTGTGACCCACCATGGCTCGCATGTCTGCGACCCACCATGGCTCGCATGTCTGCGACCCACCATGGCTCGCATGTCTGCGACCCACCATGGCTCGCATGTCTGTGACCCACCATGGCTCGCATGTCTGTGACCCACCATGGCTCGCATGTCTGTGACCCACCATGGCTCGCATGTCTGTGACCCACCATGGCTCGCATGTCTGTGACCCACCATGGCTCGCATGTCTGTGACCCACCATGGCTCGCATGTCTGTGACCCACCATGGCTCGCATGTCTGTGACCCACCATGGCTCGCATGTCTGTGACCCACCATGGCTCGCATGTCTGTGACCCACCATGGCTCGCATGTCTGTGACCCACCATGGCTCGCATGTCTGTGACCCACCATGGCTCGCATGTCTGTGACCCACCATGGCTCGCATGTCTGTGACCCACCATGGCTCGCATGTCTGTGACCCACCATGGCTCGCATGTCTGTGACCCACCATGGCTCGCATGTCCGTGACCCACCATGGCTCGCATGTCTGTGACCCACCATGGCTCGCATGTCTGTGACCCACCATGGCTCGCATGTCTGTGACCCACCATGGCTCGCATGTCTGTGACCCACCATGGCTCGCATGTCCGTGACCCACCATGGCTCGCATGTCTGTGACCCACCATGGCTCGCATGTCTGTGACCCACCATGGCTCGCATGTCCGTGACCCACCATGGCTCGCATGTCTGTGACCCACCATGGCTCGCATGTCTGTGACCCACCATGGCTCGCATGTCCGTGACCCACCATGGCTCGCATGTCTGTGACCCACCATGGCTCGCATGTCTGTGACCCACCATGGCTCGCATGTCCGTGACCCACCATGGCTCGCATGTCCGTGACCCATCCCTTCATTAGCGCCTCCAGCTGCTGCCACGTCATCTCCTCCAGTGATGTCGTCAGCACTCTCTTGATGTCCAGCGCGTCTACACTTCGTTGAATGGCCTCCGCCCGCACCTTGCTGTTCGTGTGAATGAGGAAGGGGGGAAGGGGTAAGAGTTGGGGGAGAATGAGGGCAGGGAATGGAGGAAGAGGGCGCGTTCGGAGGGTTGGAGAGGGAAGCAGACAGGAAAAGCGGCCAAGGAAAACAGTGGGGGGATAATAGGAAGGAGGAAAAGAGGAGGATTGATAGGAAGCAAAAGTGACAGGCGACGGAAATCATTCTTGTCAGTGCTCACACGTATTGCTGCATGCAGCGCTGCGACTCGCCCCCCTGCGCGAGCTTGACGGCCATGCGGTGCAGGAAGGGCACGGCGCTGGCGGACAGCCAGTCCTGCAGCGCCAGGTGCGTGGCGGCTGACACCGCGTGCGCCGTGGCGGACCCCCCACCCCCCACGGGCGACGACGACCCCGACGAGTCGGGCGACGAGGTGGTGTTGGCGGTGCGCGAGCGCGACGTGGGCAGGTGCGACGACGCGGACGAGGATCCGGTGGACGTGCGCGGCACGCCCGGGCCCGCCGCGCCCGCCAGCACGGCGGCGGCGGCAGCAGCAGCGCCGCCCTGGTGCTGGTCGACGAGGCGGCCCGCGTGCGCTGACATGGCCACCTCGCGCAGCATGGCTGCTGGCAACGGCTTGCTGCGCGCCGAGCCACAGGGCCGTGCGCGGGGATGGGGGGAGGGAGGGAAGTGGGTGTGGTGGGAACAACGTGGGGTAACAGCGTGGAGGCGTTTCTCACCAGCTCAAACACGTTGCACTCGCTCGCACGCTTGCTGCACTCCATCCCACCCCATTCATTCATGTGCGCCCCCGTCCCTCCCTATTGCAATCCCCTGCTCCATTGCGATCTCAGTCACCCACGTGCATGCGTGCGTGCATGCGAGCGCGCGCACCTGATTTTGACGAGCGCGTCGCGGAACTCGTCGACGAGGTGGTCCATGGCGACCGCCATGTACTTCTCGCACTCGCGCACGCCCGACGCGCACTCGTTGCGCTCAAAGAACTCCGCCATCTCCTGCGCGCCGTCGGAGAGGGGGAGGGGGGAAGGGGGAGAAAGCAGAGCACAGATAATTATAACGCATTATACCATTGCATGAGAGCGTAGTTGTAGCAGCATGCGAGCGTGCCTGCAGCAGCATGCGAGCGTAGCTGTATCAGCATGCGAGCGTGGTTACAGCAGCATGCGGGCGTGCGAGCGCACCTGGAGGATGTCGATGGCTCGTAGAAACTCCTCGAGCTTCCACCGCGGGCCCGACGCGATGATGGGCTTTAACTGCCGCACGCGCGCATGGGGACGCCGTGGGGTCGAGGACAGTGGAGAAGCGCGGGAGGGGGTGGGGAGGGGGGAGAAGGGAATGGCGGACAGTGATAAGAGTGCGGAGACGGAAGGGAGGACGAGGGCGAGGCAACGAGCGGGGGTGAGCAAGCACACACATCTGCGGGTTGAGCGGGGGTGCTTGAGGCACACTGCGGGTGCAGCCCCATGCGTTCACCGGTGTTCCACTCTCACATCTCCACGCACAATCTCGCCCTCCTGCTCCTCGCAGGCCCATGCTCCTCCCTCCACCCACCCCCCTACCTGTTCTAGGGAGTCAAGCGCGTCCCACACCTCCACGGTGTACTCCTCCTCGTCCTCGTCCTCCTCCTCCTCTTCCCGCACTTGCCGCGACTCCCCTCCTCTTCCCCGGTAGTCCCCCACGTTCGCTTGCTGCCAGCATTGGGGAAAAGGATCGCACGAACCAGACACGAACGTTCGAGCGCACACACGAGCATACCCAGAAACGCACACTAGGCCAAAAATCCATTTCGGAAAAGCAACGACGCAGGCACTCCATTGTGCCAGGACTTCACAGGATCGCGCGCTTTTGAGATGCTTTGTCGCATGGTCGCGAAGCAGGTCTGATATGTCGGCTACTGGGACGCTAGCCACCTGCTGGTATCTGACCTGAGCGAAGGCCCGGCTGAGCGAATCAGAACGATCCACGTCATCTCTTCCGACTGAATACGCTTCCTCTGAATCGGAATCTCCGTCGTGCTCACGGCGACTGCGGCTGAGCAGCATCATCCGACGATCTATCGCGGGACGATCCAACACTGACCGGTCCATGGCTTCCCAAAGAATAAATGCTCCAAATAGAAACTCTAAACTACCCACTACGTATAAATAGACGCCTTTGTACTATCATTCCCAAAAGCGAGACGGCCATGGAGTTGCAACACTGCCAATGCTAATCAATATTTCCAAGCTATGACGAATCGAGACTTCCGACTTAATACGAGGCAGATGAGACGTTAGTAGGAGTACGGCGAATAGGCACTGGAAATTACTGCAGAGAATTGCATCAATTACAACATTAGCAACTTCCGCTTGACAACTGCTGTAAGGACCTGGCAAGAAAACCCTAAAATGAAGGCAGTTGCAAAAAAGCCAGGAGCTCAATTGCAAATGGTTGGGCAAAGTGTTCGTCAGCAGTTTCTGTGGAATTGTCTGCCTGTAGGTTGCTGGTGGGGAGATGAACGTCAACAATCCACTCATTCGTCCGTCGCCTTCGAGTACAGTAGGCTCCAGTCCCGGGCAATGCGGTACACTGCAGGGAGCCGCGCGATCCGTAACACAAGGAGGTGGGTGTTACGTGAAACGGTGAAGTGAAGAGTCACGTGCGTGCAGAGTAGGTGGAGGCTTGTTGGTTTTTGCTGATTGGCCTGGTTGTACGCCATTTCTCGGCCCAAGCAGGTAGCTTGTAAGGAAAATTCCTTGTCCTTACTTCGCATCCCTGCTCAACGCGCACATCACTGTAGCACCACAGTCAGCAGCGTTACCACTCGCAATCCTCGCATTGACAATCCGCCCGCCACTTTCGCACGTCGCACCCCGACCTCACGGCTCGGCGGGTAACCCGCGCTCCGGGCCTCCGCTTCGACACTTTTCCCAACCTCAGTCCCAGGCCCGTCGCGCGACAACCACAGTCCATTACCGTTACCACTGTAGTTTCGCTATATATTCTTCGCTCATGCCTTCGCTCATTGTACTCTTGCTTCGATAGAGCAATTCTCGTTCGTTCACTCAATTGCACTCGTAACACTTGGTAATCAGAGCCTACGATCTCCTCTCGGACCGCACCCACACCTTTGCTTCCCCACTATCTCAATTTCTGGGGGGGGGGGGGGTAGACGTCCCTCAGCGACACAGCACCGCCGCTCGTAGTGCTCTCTCGTAAGCACGCACGGCCACGACCGAGGCTCTCGCTGAGCTCGCCCGACACCCCCGCCATGGCCGAATTCACGCTCGCCAAATTGACGCAGGAGCAGCTCGACCGTCTGGTGCGCCAACTTGAAGATTCGGCGCTCGAAATTGCGGCGCTCACGGCGGAACGTGACTCCGCACGTCAGCAATCTACGATGACATTTCAGCGCCACCACACGCACCGACAAATGCATCTGCACAATCGGATGAGCCGATCGTCATTTCGTCCGGCACACCAACGCAACATGACAGCGTGGGACAACGCTCAGGCGCAGCCAGTGATGGCGCCGCCCAGCCGATGCCTGGCATGGGAGGAAACAGGGTCGCACCAAGCCCGCGGGAGCCTCGTGAAGCCCGTCGGCACGTGGAGTTCGCGGCGACAAGTGGCGAACAGGCCATTATGGCACCCATGCCACTCAAGCCGCAACGCCCGCCCTGCTTCGACCCAAGCCAACGTGGAGGTCCGACGGTTCAATCGTGGGTTTTCACGATGAACGTCTTCTTCGACGCGAATTACGTCGAGTCGGACGCAGCGAAGATTCGGTATGCCGTTTCGCTGTCAAAGGGCCCCGCCATGGAGTGGTGGCGAGTCATCGTGACGTCGCCACGCGCCTACGAGCCACCGTCGCAAGAGGAAGGGCCCACGGGTCCAGCTGTCACCTGGAGTTCTTTCTGCGAAACCGCCCAATACAGCACGTGGGATGCGTGGTGCGCAGGGCTTCGGGTGCGCTTCGAGTTGATCGCGGCTTCTATTTCGGCGCGTCAGAGATTGCGCACTTGGCGGCAGCTCGGGTCGGTTCAAGATTACACGAGCGGTTTTCTCGCACTTTGCGAGCAGGTCGGCTACATGCACGAAGCGGAGCGGGTGGACCGTTACGTCGGAGGGCTGAAGCTGGATATCTCGCACGAAATCATGCTGCGCGGACTCTCAAACTTCAACGAGATTCTCGCGCTCGCCGAGAAAATTGACATTCTACGCCGACCGAGACCGGGGTCCTACTACGGACATCGTCCTCGGGGACCGATCGAGCACGCCACCGTAAACGCTGTTGCAACGAATGTAGCTGCCGCACCGTTTAAGGGGCGCTGCTTTGCTTGCAACAGGCCGGGCCATCGCAAGAGCGAATGCCCAGAGGAGCTAAGGCGCCGCGGAGCAGAGCAGGGGGGGGAGTCTCAGAGGCAGGGAAACGCCAGCAGTCAGTAGAAGTTGGGCCAACTACTGACGAGACTGCCTGCTCGCCCAACCGCACCGACCCTCACCGAGTCACAGTACCGATTCACGCCATCGATCGGGCTCGGATGAATAAGGAGGGTACAGCGACGGATTGCCCGGTACTGATCCACGGGAAAATACAGGGAGCAGCAGTGAAGATTTTTATCGACGGAGGAGCAAGCCACAGTTTAGTTAATACCGCAACCGCACGAAAACTACAGCTGACACTTAGCCGTTGCTTACCGGAGATAGACGCACGCTTAGTCGACGGCACGCCACTGGCCATACGGGAAAAGGTAGAGCGAGTCAAAGTCCGTTGCGGGGGAACTTTCGGGTTTACACAGGAAATGCTCGCAACGACACTGGATGGGCACGATATTTTACTGGGACGTGATTGGCTGCGACGGTATAACCCGCGAATTGACTGGACGACAGGTAGCTGCACCGTGCGAAGTAGTGGTAACTGGGTCGAGCTACCTCGCTGGCAGTCGCCCGAGTCTTCAACGGTCCACGTCAACGCCATCACGATGAAACGGGTTGTCGCCGCTGGAGCTGACGTGTACGCAGTAGATATAGCATTAGTAGGAGAAGCGGAGTAGCCGAGCGATTTTCAGAAACTGTTGGCAGCAGTACCGCCCGAACTACAGGAACTGTTGAAACGGTACCCGGGGATTTTTCCAGACGACTTATCGGAAGGGCTGCCACCTCAGCGGGCGCATGATCATAGAATCGAGTTAGAACCGGGGGCACAGCCAACTGTACAACGCCAGTTCAGACTGACACAGCCCGTGAGGAGAGTAGAACGAGAATGAATTGACTAAGGAATGGAAGTGATACAAATATGCAACCCTAGAAATGTGTACCCCATATAGGCTACCCCACTATAGCCTACACAATATTATAATTTGACACACCCCCATAGGCAAAGTGGGGGAGAACAAGGGGTCACAAGACCAGTCAAGCAAAGCAGACAAAGCTCAGGGTGGATCACAACGTCACCACACAGTCCGAGCACAAGGTCAAGGCCACAAGGCCAGTTCACATGCAGGAGTACACATATATATATATATAAGGCTAAACAAGCAAGAGCAGGTAAATATATATATGGAAGGGTACAAGCAAGGTCAAGTGGTGAGCAAGTGAGGCAAGACAAGAACAAGACCCAGCTGAGTGCAGAAGCGCTGATGATCACAAGGCGGAAGTGCCTTGGTGAAAACATCAGCAGTGTTGGCCTCAGAGGCCACGTACGCAAGTCGCAACTGACCACGCTGCTGCAACTCACGAGCAAGAAAGTAGCGGAGAGCAATGTGCTTCGTTCTGTGCTCCAGGCGCTGCTCCCGACACAAGGCCAGCATGGCCTTGTTGTCTACATACAGCACTGGAGGAGAACGAGGCGGCTCTCCTAGGTCAGTCAGCAGGTAGGTGAGCCAGCGAAGCTCCTGTGCAGCCATGGCCCCGGCGTAGATCTCAGCCTCACAATTGGAGCCGAGAACAGAAGACGAGCGAGTAGCCCGCCACGAAACAGAGCCGGAACCAAGACCGAAGGTGTAACCCTGTGACGACCGTTGCGTAGCCTGGTCGTCAGCCCAAGAAGCGTCCGCGTGCCCAGTAAGGACCACTGGACTCCGCCCTCCAAGCACTAGCCCCATGCCCGACGTACTACACAAGTAGCGCAACACCCTCTTCGCTGCACCCATGTGCTCTAGTCTGTGTCTCCCAGGAGCAACATAGCGTGCAAGAATGCTAAGAGCGTATGCGAGGTCAGGTCGTGTGCAGGTCATCAGGTACATGAGGCAGCCAACAAGCTCTGGGTACGGGCCACTCGACTCTACGGACTCATCCGAAGGCAGAGCTGAGAGCAAGTGGCGAGTAGACAGAGGAGTGGCCTGAGGCGAGGAGTACGTGAAGCCGAAGCGCTGAAGGACTTGCTGCACCATGTGTGACTGAGTCAGGGTAATGGTGCGGCGTGCTCTGTCCCGGGTGATCTGCAAGCCAAGGTAGCTGCGCAGTTCACCCAGGTCTGTGCACGTGTGTCTCTTCTGCTGCTCGGACTTCACGTGGGCGAGTCCAGCAGTGTCAGCTGTGGCAAAGACCAAGTCGTCGACGTACACGAGGATGTAGAACGGCGGCAGAGAGGTGTCGGTGCGCAGAAACAACGACGGGTCAGCAGTAGAGGGAGCAAACCCAAGAGCCGCAAGCGTAGTCCTCAGTGTGTCGTGCCACTCACGCGGTGCCTGGCGGAGACCGTAGACTGGCCGTCGGAGGCTCCACTGGGTGCCAGGAGGGAAAGTCCCAGTGAAGCCAGGTGGACGGCGCAGCCAGATCTCCTCGTGCAGGCTACCCTGCAG